GTTTAAAATCCCATCCTTGGATATTTCTAAAGTTCAAGTAAACCTTCCTCACTTACCAAAGGAGGAAGGAACATGGCCAATTCTGTCCAGGGACTTGTTGAAGAATTTTAAGCAAACCCAGAAAAATACAGTTGTGCAAAAGAACCTTGGGTAAAAATCCAAGTTTCTTAATGTGAATTTATTTTTCTTGCTCTCTTAATGACCTGGAATTACTAAGGATATTTTGTTTTATGGGGCTTTTTTTCATCTCTTGCCACATATTCAGTTTTCCAGGATCATATTTCTGACCACTTCCTTATCAAAATAGTCTTCAGTTTTGCACATTTGAAAAAGCAACCTCATGACATGCTTGACTTAAGACATCATTTTCTTCAGCCTCAGCATGTATCACAATTTGATTGCATGTGAGGAATTTGTCCAGACAAAAAGCTGGTCGCTGGGCTCATCTATAACCTTTGATATTTAGAACTTCAGGGCAGCTCAGGATGGAGACTGAAAAACTTTCAGCACTCCCAGAGTGATCTGATCCAGGGAAGTCTAACTGTTGCCCCCTTGGTCTGAGCTCTATGAGTTCCTGACCTGGGTCTGAGTCTGAGCAAGAGTAGACTATTACTGAATTCAGCCAGTTAGCCATATGCCAGGAAGCTCTGCTGATTCAGATATATATATATATGTGTGTGTGTGTGTATATATATATATATATGTATGTATAGACACACACACACACACACCCCCCACAATAGTCCCTCATTGTTTCTTATAACTCCAGAAAAATGAAGAAGAAATTAAGCAAGCACCCCAATTGGTCCAGGATCCTTTCAGCTCTTCCTCCTCCTAGCTTTTCCTTAATTCAGTGTTAAATAAATATTCTAAGGCTGTGGCAACAGGATCACCGGAAAAGTGGGAATTGTACTTTGTCCTTTCTACGTGTTTTCGTGTCTTCACTGATTACTCTAGTTACACTCTTGCCAAGGATCTTCTATTAAAGCCTTTGTTTTGCACTGTATTGTAAATAGAGTTAAAGTAGAAAGTGTTCTATGACACCTGGATAGGGTATAAAAGGACCAGAGTTATAATTCGCTACTGCAACTATAAGGTTGAGTCTACATTGGCAAAATTATCTGGTTACTTAACTTTCTAATGAATGAGAAAGCATTTGTCAAACTCTTAAGAGATGTTGAACATTGCACTAAGTTCTGGAGATACAAATGGGAAAAAAAGAAGCCGGTTTCTGCTCTCAAGGAGCTTCCATTCTAATTCTAATAGCACATATAGACAGCACATACGGGAGGACTCATTGGCAGGCTGAATGGAAAGGTTCCCTAAGGTTCAGGGAAGGTGTCAAGACCAAGGTGTCTTTAGGGTTCCAACAGCAGGTCAGAAGGCAATGTCTTGAGATCTTACCAGAAGAATTGTAGTTAGTGACTCCTTTGCATATGTGTGTGTGTGTGTGTGTGTGTGTGTGTGTGTGAGTGAGTGTGAGAGACAGAGAGAGACAGAGAGAGATGGGGGAGAAGTAGCTGGAAAGGTTTGGCCCACCACCATTGGGATAGGGGGAATGGTCCTAACAGAGAGGGGACTCTGATTTGTGATTATGTTGGTATGGGGAACCCTGATGAGTAAAGTCCCTCTACTAGTAGAGACTGGCACCTGTTCTGCATGCTGTGGTCTTGGAGGGTCACTTGGGGCACTGAAAGGTTCAATGACTTGCTCCAAGTTACACTGCCAGTTTGTGTCAAATGCAGGACTGGAGCGCAGGTCCTTCTGTGCTCCCAAAGTGGTGGAGATGAGTAATCAGAGTCCAACCCAGAAAAGAAAGGAGAAAGGAAATAGACTGTGAGGTTGAAGTAAAGAGCTCTCTGTAGTGTCTACTTCTGCTGGGCCTCTAGCCCTTAGATGGGATCTGAATGACAGAAGTGGGGTTATAGTGTATAAAGGGAATTGTACGTTTTAGTTCTTACGCCTACTGAGTTCATCTAGTTCACTAGATGGGATCTCTTCACATTCTTTTAGTAGTATCCATACTTGTTGAAAGAGCACTAATCTGAGAATCGGGAGACTTGGGTTATATTCCCAAAGGAGTCACTTATTAGCCATGCAACATTGAGCAAGTCATTTAAGTTCTGTTGGCTTCATTTTTCTCATTGATAAGGAAAGGGGTTGCATTAGGGATGATAGGTTTAGAGCGAGAAGGGAGTTTAGAGACCATCCTCATTTTCAGATGAGAAAAATGAGTCCCAGGGAGGTCAAATAATTTATTCAAAGTCTCGTAAGAAGTGAGAAAGCTGGGATTTGAATCCAGGTCCTCATAGAACAAAACTTTTGTTCTTTACTTTGTAACATTCTGCTTCTAAATACTCGTATAGTCAAACAATCAATTACTCAACAAGTATTTGTTAAGTGCCTACTATGTGTCAGGCACTGTGCTAAGTACTGTTCTGGTGCCAGTAGTAGTAGTCTATGATTTCATTGGCACATGCATATTTTTTTCTATTAAAATTATCTAGATATTTATATAAATACTTTTGGGTAAAATTAGTTACTTCAAGTGAATATGCACTAGAGTAGGGGTTCTTAACCTGGGATCTGTGAACTTAAAAATTTTTTTGATAACTATGTTTCAGGATAATTAATTTCCATACAGTGCTGGGCCTGGAGTCAAGAAGACCTGAGTTCAAATATAACTTCAGACATTTAGGATCCATGTGATCCTGGGCAAGTCACTTAACCTCTGTTTGCTTTAGTTTCTGCATCTGTAAAATGAGGATAATAATAACATCTGCCTCCCAGAGTTGTTATGAGAATCAAATGAGCTAAGGATTGTAAAACACTAGGTGCATTAAGTGATATATAAGTGTTAGTTATTATTATCTTATGCATTTAAAAACATTATTCTGAGAAGGGATCCCTAAACCCCACCAGACTGCCAAAGGGGTCCCATGACACAAAAAAGGTTAAAAACTCCTGCACTTAAACCAAAAAAAATCCATATTCCTTTAGACCAAATTCCATTAGGCGCATTTGGGTACCAGTCTGAATGGGCAGTCTCAGCAGGTAATGGGCTCCCCTTCGCTTTCTTTAAGGTCTTCAGTAGAAGCTGGTTGACAGCTTGTTAGATATGTTACAAAGGGGTCTCCTATTCAGGTAACTGTTAGTCTAGGTGACCTCTGAGGTCCCATCAAACTCTGAGATCCAGTCATTCTAAGTATTCATATTTTGAGACCCAGTGTCAATCTATTTGAAAGGCCATTTGTGGCTTTAATGTAAATGGCACTAGATCCTATCACTACATTTCCTACCAAGTATTCTGTAGCTGAAAAGTGACTTGGTCACTTATTTTCCTGATGATGTATAGGTTTAGCTCCTTGTCCTTATAGCAGTAAACAATGAGCTGGACCCAGAACTGAAAGGGAAAAAGGAAGCAGGCTGGATTGCATTTGGGAAATTGTGCTAAAAATTCCAGTGATCCTAAGCTGCTCCCTTCCATCAAACGCCATCTCTTTCACACCAGTATGCCTCCTGAGAGGCAGTGTGACATAGGGGACAGCAAGCTGCCCTCCAAGTCAGAAGGACCTGTGTTCCAGTCCTGCATTTGACACATACTGGCAGTGTAACTCAGAGCAAGTCATAGGACTTTTCAGTGCCCCGAGTGACCCTCCAAGACCACAGCATGCAGAGCAGGTGCCAGTCTCTATTAGTAGAGGGAGTTTACTCATCAGCGTTCCCCATACCAGCGTAATCACAAATCTAACCCAGAATTCTCCTGATCATGCTATATGGGTACAGATCATGGAACACTATGATCTCAGAAGAATCAAAATTACAGATGCCCAAAAGGTCTGTGGAAGGACATATAATAGGTGTAAATAGGCTAGAGAATATTAATAAGGAAAGAAGACTTGTATGTGAGAAGTAGCAGAAGTTCTATCTCTACGTAACTACATATGACCAGAAAAGGAGATTAGATGGTCATGTAGTGATAATAGTTAGCATTCATATAGCACATTACACATTTCATTTTATTTGTTCTTAGCAACAACTTTGTGAGGTATGTGCCGTAGTTATCCTTATTTTACATCTGAGGGAACTGAGGCACAGAGAAGTTAAGGAACTTGTCCAAACCCACACAACTAGCAAATGTCAGAGGTAAAAACATTTGAACTCAGTTCTTTCTGACTTCAAATCCAGTTATCTATCCACTGCATCACTTAGTTGCCTTAGTAAGTTTGAAAGATAAAGGATTGACTACATGAATTTATCCTTGACATTTTAAAGATGCAGAAGTCCCAGTAATTGTTGATAAACATTTATTAAGTGCCTACTATTAGCCAAGCACAGTGGTAAGCACTGGGAATACAAATACAAAGTAAATAAATAAATAAAGACAGTTCCTGCCCTCAAGGAGTTTATAATCTAATGGGGAAGACAAAATACAAAAGGAAGCAGGGAGGCAGAAGGAGGGTGGGGAGGAGAGGGAGGAAGGTATTTGCTGTAGGTATGATGGAGAAGTCCAGAGGAGTGTAACTCAGTAGGGAATGAAAAGATGGCTGATTTGAGGCCCTCTTAAATAGAGGGCATTGTGTATATCCTCCATGGAGATTTTATGGAAGGGTGTGGTCAGTAGAAAGTGAGAAAGGATAAATGGTTTGTGGTCTGGATTGATGTTGGTAGTGTCCACATTAGCAAAATAGCAGGTGTTCCTGCAGTATATTCAGATTTATATAGTCAGTATGATTTACTGGAGAAAGCTATAAAGTGGCATTGTTTTTCCTTGTCATGTATTCTATACTGTAAGTGTGATATAAGTGTTTATAAAGAGTTAGTGGCCATGTAAAATCAGGCTTCCTAAAGAAATCAGAAGCTTTCAAATTTGGGGTTCAAGTTCAAGTCACAGACTGGCAGGCTTGTTGTTTCCTGTGATGGCCAGAAAAGGAAGTATTCAAAGAGAGTGTGCCCTTTCTGTAAAGGAAATTAATGCTTCCCAATAAATTCTTTTCTAGTGAAGGAAGCCCTTCTCCCCGGATGGAGCTGCTGCATAACATTGACCCAGGCTTTGTAGACATATCTCCATGTGAGTACACGCTAATTAATTAATGAATCATTAGGAGGCTGGTTTGGCTGCTTCCCATTTTGCAAGGCTGAAGTCCATCTCCCTTTTCACCTGAATGGAAATCAAGGCAAATTCTCCCCTCTTGTAATTTTCTTAGTGATCTCATTTTAGGGGTCACTAAATTATTGCCAAGGACTAATACAGTTGGCACACCCTACTTCCTAGTCCTCCAAAGCACCCAAATGGAAAGAGTCGTGTCCAGGAAACCATGGAGCTGTTGTGAGATAACCACATCCCTCAGGTGCCAAGGTGGTGAGATTTAGCACTACCTCCATTCCAAAGGTGCAGTTGCAACCTAGCATTTATTCAGCAAATACCATGGGCCTGGTATTGTGATAATCTCTGGGAATACAAAGAGAAGCAAAAAAAAAGCCCCTGCCTTCAAGGAGCTGGCATTCTAATGGGAGAGACAATGCGCAAATAACTGAGGACAATATATATACAGTGTAAATGGAAGGTGGTTGTTTGTTGTTGGGCAGCTCAATGGCACAGTGGATAGAGTGCCAGGCCTAGAGTCAGGAAGACCTGAGTTCAAATCCGGCCTCAGATGCTTATAAACTCTGTGACCCTGGACAAGTCACTTCACCCTGTTTGCCTCAGTTTCCTCATCTGGAAAATGAATTGGAGAAGGAAATGGCAAATCATTGCAATATCTCTGCCAAGAAAACCCCAAATGAAGTCACAAAGAGCCAGCCATGTCTGAAATGACTGAACAATAACAAAAGATCCCTTCCGGGTCTAAACAGAAGGTAATCTATGGGGAAGGCACTGGTAGTGGGCAGGAGTGGGGTGAGAGGGAAGTGAAGGAGAGATCAGGAGAAGCCTTCTGCAGAAGGGATTTGAGCTGAGTGTTAAAGGAAGCCAGGAAACCTCAGAGACAGAGTGGAGGAAAGAGAGCATTCTAGATATGGAGGGTCAACCATTATAAATGCATAGAATCAGGAGATTGCACATTGCATGCAAGGAACAAGTGTGCCAATATAGTTTGTAGAATGCATGGAGGGGAGTACAGTATAAGAAAACTGCATAGGTAAGTGGGATCCAGGTTGTGAAGGACTTTAAATGCCAAGCAGAGGATTTTATATTTAATCCTGGAAGTAATAGGGACCAACTGGAGTTGATTGAATGGTAGGGAGAGAAGAGTGACGTGGTCAGACTTATGCTTTAGAAAAATCCCGTGGACAGCAGAGCAAAGGCTCGATTGAGCCACGGAGAGACTGGAGATGAAGAAACCCACCAAAAACCTATTGCAGTGGTACAAGTGAAGGTGATGAAGGCAGGAACTCTACGAGCTGAGAAAAGGAGACGCTTCATGAGAGATGTTTTGAAAGTAAATTTTTTTAAGTTGTCAAAAGATCAGTTATATGGGATGAAAGCAAATGAGGAGTCTGGGAGGATGTCATGGTTGTGAATTGAGGTGACTGGAAGGATGGTGGTGCCCTCCACAGTAACAGGAAAATTGCAAGGAAGGAAAGGGTTTATGGGGAAAGATGAGTCATCTTTGGGGCAAAGTTTAAGGATTGAGTTTAAGGTGCCTATGGAACATCTTAATTTGAGGTGTCTAAGAGGCTGTAGGAGATGTGGGACTAGAACTGAGGAGAAAGATTAGGGCTATTTATATAGATATGGGAATCATCTGCAGAGAGATGATTGTTGACCACATGGGAGATGATGAGATCACCAAGCAAGATGTTCAGTTGTAGTTCTATTTTAGAAATATACAATACCCTAGTGATCTACAGGGATTAATGTCCTTTATTAAGTGCCTGTCATGGAATCCTTTAGGCCCTGGGGAGCCCAGGTTCCATTTATAACATCCCCAACTAAAATTTCCTGTTGAAAATATTGCCAGTAAACATAGCATACATTTTATGAAATATATACCCTTGAATATTGCCTTAGAATTTAGTGGTAGCTTTTGATTTAAAAAATTATATACATGTTTTTCAGTCATGTCCGACTCTTTATGACCCTGTGGATTGTAGCATGCCAATTCTATCTGTGGGATTTTCTTGGCAAAGATACTAGATTGGTTTGCCATTTCTTTCTACGCTGGATTAAGGCAAAGGTTAAGTGACTTGCCCAGGGTCACATAGCTAGTAAGTGAGCTCAAGTCTTCCTGACTTTAGGCCCAGTGCTCTGTCCACTGAGCCACACACACGTATGTATGTGTGTGTGTGTGTGTGTATATACACATATACATACATATACACATATGTGTATTATGTATATACACACAAATTTTTTTCCTATAGAAACACAATCACAAAAATTGTATGTGTGTATATATACACACACATATACAAGTTTTTTTTTTAATCAAAAGCTACCACTAAATTTTATATGATTTTATATCCTTTTACCTATGAATGGTTTCCATCTTATATCACAAACAAAACCCCAGAGATTGAGCTTCTCAATTCTGATTAGTTCTAAGGAATCCTTAGAAAATCTAAGGATTTTCATATGTATGCTTAGAAGGTTGGACACCATGTGACAGACTTTTTTGGCCACATAAACCTCCAGCCTATGGGTAGAAGAATCTTAATCTGTGTCAGAAGAGGAATGGAAATTACATGTAAACAGCAGGCAGGTGGTTCAGTGGATAGAGTGCTGGGCCTGGAGTCAGGAACACCAGAGTTCAAGTCTGGCCTCAGACACTTATTAGATTTGTGACCTTGGGCAAGTCATTTAACCTCTGTTTGCCTGCGTTTCCTCATCTGTAAAATGAAGATAATAATATCACTTTACCTTCCAGGGTTGTGAAATAATAATTGTAAAGCACTTAGCCTAGTACCTGGCACATAGAAAATGCTATATAAATGTTAGCTATTATTGATGATGATGATATAAACTCAGAGATCCTCGAAGTATTGAAGTGATCATATTAAGTCAAACATGCCTTGCTTCATGCCTTGACTTTTGTATCACTAATCTTACCCATTATCTTGCCATGGATTAAGAACTTTGCTAAATTGGAATAACCTTAAGGATGTTTACATTTAAATGAGTGAATTACCTTCATTTTTAAAATTCTAATGTTTTTAGAAATGGGAAACCACCATTTAACCATGTGAAACTGAAATACCCAGTATACCAAGTTGGTAGGCTATCTATGTCCTCTACTCATTCCTGTAGTCTTCCTTTTGTTCATTTTGCTTCTAATTAATTGATGTCTTCACCAGAGGTTGTAAAATTTGAAGATTAACGAACAGTTCTAGCATCTGGAGGACATGAAACATGGGAAGACTTTGGGACACATTCTCTTGGAGATGCATTAAGAGAAGCATGCTTTCCAGGAAAAAAGGGCTGATAGTGTCTCTGTAAAACATCTGGAGTATTACACAGTTCCATCTTGAAGTACTGTTGGAACAGTCAGATGCAAAGTCCTCCTAATTCTGGTTCTGATTACAAGGCAGAAAGATGAGATGAAATTCTGATGACTCCATTTGGGTAACTTGTGAACAGTTTTGATAAAAGATTGGGTTGAGTAGGAAGGGTGTAAATAATAACATTAGCTACATTAAGGTTGTGTGATTATCTGTAGATTTCAGCTATCTATGTTCTCACTCTATATTGCATTAATGTGTATTTTCCCCATAGCCCCTCTAAGTCATTTTCTTTTTTTGTCAACTTTGCCAATCTAATAGGTGTAAGGTAGAACTACATAGTTGCTTTAATTTACATTGCTTTAATAGTTAGTGATTTGGATTATTTTTTCATATGGCTGTTGATTGGATTTCTGTCCCTGAGAACTCCTATTTGTATCCGTTGACCATTTATTTATTGAAGAATGGCACTTACTTTTATAAATTTGAACCAGTTCCCTATACATTGTGGAAATGAGACCTTTATCAGGCGAACTTGCTACCAAGATTTTTTCCCAGTTACCCATTTCCCTTCTTTTCTTTGCTGAATTGGTTTTATTTGTTCAAAACCTTTTTAATTTTACATAATTGAAATTGTCCATTTTGTTGTGTATGTGTTTTACTATTCCATCATAATAAAGGGAGTGCTGACCCCCTCTCTTTTCGTATAATAACCATTCACTTTCTTTACATGTCTGTAAAGACAGAGACATCATGGTACAGTGGAAGGAGGGCTAAATTTGCAGTCAAAGGGACTTAGATTGAATCTCAACCCTGTCTTTTGCTACCTTTGTGAGGATGGGAAAGATACAATCTCTTTGGGCTTTAGTCCCTCCTCCGTCTAATGAAGGAGCTGGACCACCTGACCTCTGTGGTCCCTTCCAGTGCTAACGCTGTGATCTTTGATATATTTGTACTTCATGCTTGGAAGATAACTTTGACTAGACCTCAGCTTTGTTCTCCGGTGAATCTGAAAGGTCTTTCGGATTCCTGGTTCACACAATACCTTTCTACCCCTTCCCTTTTAAGAATAGAATCAGAGCTTTCTGTTCCACATGACTAAAAGAGTTCTCCTTATAACAAGCTAACTTTCCAGTGTCTTTCTCAAGAAGTGGACTCTAGACTGAACCCCATCTTGTTAAATTTCATTTTTATTTTGAGGGAGAAATACTGTGTGTGAAATGGATAAATTCTATGTGATAACTTACTTCTCTTTATGTGTCATATCCTTCCAGATGACTTTCCTGATCCCCCCTGAAAGTGTTTTGTTGTTGTTCAGTCTTGTTCGACTCTTTGTGACCTCATTTGGGCTTTTCTTTGCAAAGACACTGGAGTAGTTTGCCATTTCCTTCTCCAGTTAAGATGAGAAAACTGAGGCAAACAGGGCTAAGTGACTTGCCTGGGGTCACACAATTAGTAAGTGTCTGAGGCCAGATTTGAACTCAGGGAGATGAGTTTTCCTTATTCCAGGCCTGGAACTCTATCCATTGTCCTACCTAGCTGCTCCCTCTCCCCGAAATTACATTATTTTTACATTTCATATTTACTTATCTGTGTACATATATGTTATACCCTTCCCCTCCCCTTTACCTC